CTTAAAGAAATCAAACTGTATTCCAAAATATAACTTCAACAAAACTACAACATAAAACACACATATCACTGCATCTAGTAATTATGTCCACACAAACATGTATATGCACAAAAGCTGAGTATCATTTACCATGTACTCCATTGCGGAAGCAGAATAACGTATATTATATTTTTATTACTTCAAAGCTCCGAAGGAAATTTCGGCATTAAATGACCCATAAAGAATTGACATGCCTTTAAACAAACAAATCAATCAATCAACCATCCTCTTTCCCTTCGTATTCCAGTAGTAAGAACAACGTCCCATTCAGACAGTTTCTTCTTACATGTCGCTGCTTTGTGGAACAGACTCCCGAGAGGATGCTTCCCCGACCACTACAATCATAATCGTTTCAATTCTAGGACCAACCGTTACCTGTCCTACATATCCTTATAATCTACAATTCTTCTGCCTATAAAACAAAGCGCATTAAGTAACTTAATAAAAAATTAACTTGAGTGGCTCTTGGGACTTGTATTGGGTGAACAACAGAGTAAAAAAAAATTAAATTTGTTATATTCACGAGAAAAGACTACTCGGTATCGGAGATAGGGCGTATGTAAATGCGTGGTGTGGACATAGAAATCGACGCTGTATGGTGTTAGTCGGTCTCACGTCTCAAAAGATCATCAGACCATGTTCAGATGATCGCTTGTTGTGTGAAATTGACAATCACTATGCAAGCTTGATTTCTATATCTACAACCTGGAGAGCTTGTCGTATAACGATGCGTTGAAAGTTCGGCTATAGGTTATAAACTCGTGAAGAGAGTTCTATTCTTTCTGGTTGTCTTACATTGTCCACACTCAACTGGACTTAGTAAACACGTACGTAGGGGGCCTACTACTGTAGAGGAACGAAGAAAGAACCAGCCGGGCAAGTGTCTTGTGAAGCGTGTTCGAAATTTATTTATTGCTTTAATTTGTAGCTATTTTTCAAACTCAGCTGAAGTTCGTGAAACGCTGCATAGAAAGACGTTTAAAGTCGGTGGTAATTGATTGATTCTAATTTAATGTTTCCCCTTTTAGTCTTTTCCCTATATAAACAAGCTTTCCTAAATATTTAAAATGTCTTTGCAATGACTAACACTGTGTTCATCCTACGCTTGCACCTTTCTTCGTTATTCGGTTAATTGCCGCTTTTGACAAGAGGCCTTTGCGCCATACTGACCAAAAAACCAAAAACAAAAAACACACACAAAAAAACAAACAAAAAAACAAACAAAAAACAAAAACAAAAAAAAACAAAAAAACAAACGACTCAAAAAAAGTTTTGAAGATACTATTTCCGTCGTATTTAACAAATAAAAGCCTCTTTTTCCTGAATAGAATTTAGATGTAAGATGTCTTGGTAAGAGTAATATCATTCGTTTCTTAATAAAGAAACATTCGGCATTCATTGACCAAGAAGTCAGTCTTTTGACATTTATAAAACTTTTCCATTAAAATAGATTTCTCAAGTCCAGTTACTGTTGTGTCCTAGGTAAGACGATAAACTACGTCCAGCAGCAAGGCCTCTGATCAGGAGGTTTTGAGAAGCGTGGAACCACCTCTTAATTGCTTGTGTTCCCAGGTCCACCTTGACCCGAGGTGGTAGCTCCTGTTAGTGTCCCAGCTATGGGGAAATAGTTAACCCTGAAACTGGGTTCAAAACAACAAAAAAAGCTATTACCAGCAATACATCTTTTTTTTTTTTAAAAATTACCAATAATACATTTTTGGAAACAAAATATTACCAGTTGTACATTTTTGAGAAAAAAATATTACCAGCAATAATTTAAAAAAAAAAATTATTACCAGCAATACATTTTTGAAGGAAAAATTATTACCAGAAATAAATTTTTGACAAAACAAAATATTACTAGCAATAAAAAATTTGTCGGCATTAAATAACCCATTGAGGTTGATATGACGTAAAACAAAACAAAAACAAAACAAAATCCAATTACTGTTATGGCTCTTTACAGTATTAATGGGAGTTTCCTTCCTAACCGTTTGTTCGAAGTAGTGTGGGAGGTCAATATCTTGATTATGCCTTTATTTTATAATCGAGTTGGTCTTATGTAGATGCTGCGATTAAAACTCCGATATAGCAAAACGTCTAGAATTGGTGAATTCCAAATTTGCTGGCCAATGAATATGAATTTCTGCTGAAATCTTGATTACTTTTCAAATCTAATGGAATACAAGGAAAAATATCTACACTGTACAAATTTTATTTTGGAATTATATTTACATACTAAAACATGGTGCTACTTTGGTTTGCTATCTAGACTGAAAAGATAACAAGCCAAGCTGCTTTAATATGTAGATATCATTCCAAAATAAAATTTGTACGGTGTAGATATTTTATGCCTTGTAGATAACAAGCCAAAGTAGATATTTTTTCTTGTAGATAACAAGCCAAAGTAGATATTTTTTCTTTGTAGATAACACAGCCAAAGTAGCACCTGTGATTTTCGTTAGTCCGTCCGTCACACCCTCTAAAATAGCCATACATTGACCGATCGAAACCACGGGTACAAAGTACGGTTGGTTTTACTAGGGTGCACAGCTCCGTGAAATAAATTTCCATTAATTTTCTGGCAAAAATTAAGTTTTATTATCTAACAAACAAACTATTCCTATTATTTAAAAAAAAAAACAATCTAATGATTAAAATAACAAATACTCATTTAATAAAAACGCAATGTTGTTTTTTTAAATATCTTTTCTCGAAGTTTTTATATTTCATCGATTGGTTTGCGAAATTTAACGAAACATATAATTCGTAAATCTTGGCAAAAAATGTTAGCAATAACTTCGACAATACTAAATACTGTGAGGATTTTAACATGTGTCTTCGTGTTGCCAAAATAATTCTAGTAGATAAAATGCCTACTAGACGATTAAACGCACATACACAGACTAACGCATACAGATTATCAACCGAACCCCGCATAGACAAGCTAGAATTATAATACATATGCACACATGAATTATACACACGAACGCTACTTGACAGGACAGGCACACATGAGGCCTGTTTAACCAATGAAAAACAAACACTACAGATATAAAAATACCAGAATTTTCTTTTCTCCTCCATATTTTATTTTCTGGCGAAGTTTAAATAAAAGAGAAACGCTAAATTTATAAACGTTTCCTGTTAGTTACTTATCCTAACATTCTTTGGCTTACAATAAATTTTCATTAATGTTTTTGGAAAAATTAAGTTTTATTATTTAACAAACTATTCCCACTATTTTAAAGACAATCTAATGATTAAAATAACAATTACTTAATAAAAATGCAATGTTGTTTTTTGCATATCTTTTTCTTTAAGTTTTTATATTTCATTGATTGGTTTGCTAAATTGAACGAAACTTAGAGTTTGTAAATCTCGACAAAAAAAAAATGTTAGCGATAACTTTATCGGTGCTAAATATTTTCAGAATTTCAACATGTTTTGCAAAAAAATTCTAGTCTCTAAAATTTCCCGTTCTTTGGGATATCTGTTTTTCTGTTATCAGGAAACCGCCTGTTTAAACTTTAAAGTTCAGAGAATTTTTATTAATTCAGTATTTCAATCACTTTAATATTTGACGATGACGTTGTTACTTTGTATAATTGCAGAAATTTTTGATTGGCGTTAATTCTCAAATTCGAAGCATCATAGAATGAATCAAGATATAAATTGGCTGAATCAAGATTTTTGAAACACCTACGATTTGGGGTTAATAATAATAATAATAATAATAATAATAATAATAATAATAATAATAATAAACACTGGATATTTTTTAAAAATCAATAAAAACAAACAGACGTTTTTTTTTACCGAAAATTCGATAGGCATAAAGTTTGTAAATATATACGAAGATAAAAAAAATCTTATGTAATGTTATTTTAGCAGCGTTTGGCAACAAAAAGCGGAAATACTGGATTCTTTCGTGTAGGCTGATATCAAATAATAATCTATCAGAGATCAAAATATATGACTTTACCATCACAGAAGGTTGGCTTATAAACTGCAACAGCTCTTATCGACACGCTTTTAAGCTAAAATATCACTAGTAAAAATCCCATCTACTTAAAGCCGAGACTAATTGTCTAAAAGTGGTTTCTAATATTTCACAGGAAAAATGAAGCCCAAACTATCAATCAGAACTCGGTGAATACAACAAAGTAACAAAAAAAAAAGAAAGAAAAACAGTTTCTACTAAATACTTAGGCTCTGGAATCCTATTTTCATAAGTCAGCCTTTATGTAGTGATTTGCCAGGCGTAGCTTAGATGTGGCACAAGGCCGAAAGTATAGGGCACACAGTGAGGATCGAACTCACCGCCCAGTCGTAACTTTTCTAGCGAGACAAGCTTGCTAACTATTACACCGCTACGAGGCGCCCAGTGATTTCCCAAGCGTCGCTTAGATGTGGCACAAGGCCGAAAATATGGGGTAACACAGTGAGGATCGAACTCACTCCTCTGTCGTAATTGCTTTAGCAAGACAAGCTCGCTAACCATTACACCGCCCCAAGGTGCTCAAGTCAGCCTTTACATATTGATCATCACAACGCAAAGAATATTTGACTGCATAAAATTAGCATCGCCAACTTTTCGATATGCGTTGTCTTTACTTACTCCTTCACCCAAGCTTGAACACTATTATGATCAGTTGGTTGATTGTTTTTGTTTAGCTGCATATCAACACCTCTGTGGGTTATTTAATGCCGAAATCTACATATTTTTTACGCAATTCTATTTATTTATTTACGTATTTATTTTTATTTGGAAATAATGATGATTTTAATGATAAAGTCTTACTAATTAATTAATTACCTCTCCTCACCGCCCACCTTAGCTGGAGGTGGTGAGGAGAGGTGGATTCCCAACGATATTTACGTGTATAACGAACCCGACTGGAATTGGAACTCTGCTCTCCGATTATCAATTCCGAGCCATTATCTATTACACCACCCGCACATCACCTGGTATTCCCAAGCGGTCACCCATCTAATTACTGACCAGCCTCGACGTTGTTTAACTTCAGTGATCTTAAGTTAACCGGTGTTTTAACGTTATGTAGCCGTAAGCGATCCTCTCGTGGTGATTTTCTCAGCGTAGTTTAAGCGTGTCACAAGGCCGAAATTATAAGGCACCCAGTGAGGATTGAACTCTCTATTCAGTCGTAGCCATTCTCTCATGAATATTAGCCGAATTGTAATAGCAACGTAACTAAAGACAACTGTGGATTCTATTTGTAACATATATTCACATTGACTATGATATATATATACACAAAATTTATTTGGTTGGGATCAAGTGACAGCAAGACTCTTTTATACTGTAACACTTTCCGCAACATTTTAGCCAATTCTTGTAATGCTTTGGTTTGGATAGTATCAATTTTTTATTTTTATTTTTTTTCCCCCCCACTTTTTTCTTTGCTCTGTCATTGCTCAGATTTAAAAAAAAAAAAAAAAGACCTTTTTTTTTTTTACTTTCATTCAGTTATACTTTGTGGTCTGTTGGAACAGTGACGTCCAGTGTGACAGGTTTTCTTCTCTTTGTCTACAATGCCTATATCTAATCTCTTAACTTGGCGGCTTAAGGCTATAGCGCGTTGAAATATCGATTCTCGTTCGATCACCAAATTTATGCAAGAGCCTGGTCAGTAATTAGATGGGTGACCGCTTGCGAATACCAGGATGCTTGGATGTGCGTCCGGTGTAATGACTAACGGCTCAGGACTAGGAATCGGAGAGCCGAGTTCCAATTCCAGACAAGGTTGTTATATTTACTTTCGCGCAAGTATCCTTGAGAAAGGTATGAATTCGCCTCTTCTCTCCCAAGTTATAGGTTAATTGGAAAGACTTGTATAAAAAAAATAATTGTTTTTTCCATAAAAAATTCTTATAATCTAAAAATATTTTCTGGCTGTACAAGATTGATAAATCGTAAAAGGAAAACTAATGAATGAATCAATCCTTGCTTCTTTTTCTACAGTATGGTTCACCCTGTACAAGGCTCGCGGGCCGCTCGATGTAGAGGGTTACGTTAAGCGGTAGTTTATATGGATAGGAGGGGAAGATAAAGTTTAACCCTAACTTTGACTAGATTAAGATTGTAGCATTCGGAGAAGCATCCTCTTGGGAGTCAGTTACATAGAGAAGTGGTTCGCGGAAGAAGCTGTTAGAGTGGAACTTCTTGTTAATGGAATTCGGAAATGTAAGCAAGCATGGCGGTTCCTAGCCGTGAAGGTTAAACCTGGTGGAATCAAAGAATGTAGTTCGTTCGAGCAATTTCCATAGAAATAGCGATGGAGTAGTGTGAGGTTCGCCACATCCCGAGAGGTGTTACAGAGTGGAAAATAGTTCTTCTCAAACAAAGTACCGGAAACTCTTTTGAACTCAAAACTGTAAAGTGATGGCTGGGAAATATCCCGCCCAAAATATGACAACATCACTCTATTTCCAGCCTGCTCTGGCTCTGATAAAGGTAGTGGATAGTATGAGGAGTCAGGTACTTACTGGTGCGTTGCTTGGATTGGGTTAGTCGTCTGAATTCTAATATCTGAACAATTTTTACTTAATAACAGCTTCTGTTTTTTTTTGTTTTTTTTTTTGTTTTTTTTATGTGCATAAGCCATTTGTATGTATCGTTAAATTTCATTTGTTTGTAGAATTCCCAAGGCATGGATATTTTATACGAAACCCCTCAATAATACGCTGCCGTTTGGCACTTTTCGATTGGATTTCTTGCGTGAAGAAACTTTATTAAAGGCAAAAGGAACTTAGCTAGAGTACAAGTTTTATTTTTGCTAATTTTGAAATTCTAGCCATGTTTTCATTTTGACCACTTTTCCCGCCAAAATGTCTCAAATATTCCCTGGTCTTAAGTTGGGGATATACACTAATGTTCATTAATACACTAATTTCTTTAATATTCTCTGCTGAAATGACAGTGAGATGAGTCATATATGCATATTGATATTTTATACCGTCATGCACTGATAAAATATCGTAACAGATTACGCACTCTTATTTCGATTATCACCGTTACTTAGAACGATTACTTCGCTACTTATGTAAATATAAAAAGTCTGAGTTAGCAATAATATAAGTGATAGGTGCCCATAAAAAGGCAGTATGGATTACTTACGGCTAATTCGTTTAAATAATGCAATGACTATTGTATGCGTCATGTGGTAAAACTTAAGTAAAATGATGCACTGAAATAAGTAGCCAACTAATCGTTTTAAGTTCTCTGAATATCGGTGCCAAAAAAAAAAATCTTTGAAGGTTTCTATCAAACATCAACTCGACCTACATGTTTCTTTAGTATGTTACTTTGTTCATCTTTCTGTCTATTCTTCTGACAGTGGCATTAACACAAACCATCTAATTGCATTTTCATCTGTCTGACGATTACAAATCAATAAAATTAACTAGTAAAAAAAAAAAAAGGTTTTATTCCGAGAAACAATTCTTAAATGTAAAATCTTCCGCACCCGATAAAAAAAATGAAGCCATCATGATAAGTGATTTTTAATGGAACTTTTTGTTAACGCAATTATTCATAAGAAAACATGGACTATATTTTTTCGTCTTACCAAGATGTCGAGTAATTTAGAACACTTGATTATTCTGTACGCCAGTGATATCTCTGTCTATATCTCTCCACCGCTTCTTGTCCTTTGTCAGTATGCATGAAAAATACAAGAGGAAACTGACATTCATATAGGAATATTTGAACAAGTATATCTATGTTTCATGTCTATTCAGGTCGTATTTAGCCATGGCTCTCCACAGCTTCCTGTCCTTTGTTTGTCGATATGCATGCAAATAAATGCAATACAAGAGGAAACTCTGATATTCATACAGAAATATTTGAATAAATATGTATATTTATGTTACATGTCAATTCAGAGCGTAGCTTATTATGACTCCATAGATTCCTATCCTTTGTCGGGCAGTATGCATGCAAATAAATAGAACAAAAGGAGATATTGATAAACACTGTCAATCATGTAGATATATACGAATAAATAAGTATGTATCATATCCATTCAGCGCGTGGCCGATTATGGTCCTCCATAGCTACCTAGCCTTTGTCTGTCAGTATGCACGCAAATAAATGCAATGCAAGAGGAAACTTTGACATTCATATAGAAATATTTGAATAAATATATTTAGGTTCCATGTCTATTCAAGGCGTGACCGATTATGGCTCTCCATAGCTTCCCATGCTTTTCCTGACAGCATGAATGAAAATAAATGGAAAACAAAGGAAAATTTGTAAACTCTGACAATCATGTAGAAATGTTAGAATAATTAAGTATATCTATGTACCATGTCCATTCAGGACTGGCTGAGTGTGTCTCTCCACATCTTCCTGGCCTTTGTCTGTATGCATACAGGTAAATGGAACAAAAGAAATGTACAGACTCTGGCAACTATATAGAAATATAGGCATACATAAGTATATCTTTTTATGTATCATGTTCATTCTAGACGTGCCTGATCATCGCTCTCCATGGCTTCCTGTTTTTTTTTCCCTGTCAGTATGCATGCAAATAAATTAATCACAAGAGCGCATTTATAATAAATAAGAACGAACAATTGTAATATTTATCGCCCCCTGTTATTTAGTTATGAGGAGAGTTGTTATTTTAAATTGTTTATCGTTAGGAGATCGATTTTTTTTCGCTTAGGAAATATCAAGCAGTTATAAAAATGGTTTTCTTTTTCTGTAAAACTATTTTTTTATGTCTGTCTGTACAGTCTTCTTCATTCTATTTTGTTTTTCATTTTTTTTTTTATCGACGCGGACATTTGAGAATTTAGAAAAAAAAATTCTCACAACGTTGCAACGATCGAATTTACTGGCTTTTTGTGATGGGATGTGACGTGATCGATACAACTTCATAATGTGTTTTTTTTTTGTTCTTTTTTAATCTTTGATTTTATCACAGGCTTTTGATCGGTTGTCTCCCCACCACTCCCATCCCTACAGTCTTGGAGACTAATTACAACAAACACGTGCGCGCGCGCTCACACACACACGCACACACACACAAACACACACACGCGCGCGCACACACACACACACATAACACAAAAACACACATATACACATACACACACACACACACTGGCGCGCGTGTGTGCGCATGCTAAAATGAAAGTACAGAACAGATGTATGCGTAGAAAATTATTTGGAGTCAGACACGTCCAAACAGTCATAATCTTCCGAACAAGGCCATATGCTAACTTTGGCTTAGACAAGTAAAATCCTATACAAGCGCGCGCACGCGCTTACACACACATCTACACGCAGGGATAAAATATGATTTCTTAAAAGAAAATGCCATGTACCTTCAAGACGTAGGTGATCATGATTTTCCACAGATTCCTTTTATTCTTTTAATATCTGCGAATTGCTATGCATTCTTGAGAAAGATAATGTAGTAGTTTCTCGTTGCTTTCTCCACGGTTTTGTATTCAGAGTTTTCATTCTCTGGAGAACCCAGCTTATTCGAATACATTTCTGTGTTTGGCGGTGGGGCTAGGCTGGTGTTAATCAAATATTCATTTTTGATAAGAATATTTCCCGGGGTTACTTTTACTCTTTATAATAGGACTTAAATAGTCTGACGGCAAAGGATTCTGTACATAAATGAATGCGCGTGTATATATATATATATATATATATATATATATATATATATATATATATATATATACACACATATGGATATATATATATATATATGTGTGTGTGTGTGTGTGTGGATATATACATATATGTGTGTGGGGGTAAAAATTATCAAGTAGAGGATATCTGTAAAAGGTCAATGTAAATAAAGACAAAACAAAAACTTATGTCAGCCGACGCGTTTCGTCCTCTGTGGGACTAAAGTTACACAGCATTTGCCTTGATAAAGACCCATAGAGGACGAAACAAGTCGACTAAGAGAAGCTTTCATTTTATCCTTATATATATATATATATATATATATATATATATATATATATATATATATATATTTGTCTCTCTGTGTTTTTGTGTGTGTGTGC